TTTTCTTTTTTCTTTTTTTTTTTTTTAAGTCCTAACGCATCATCATTTTTGATGAATTAATCTTTTTGGCAAATGGCCGGAGATGATTTATCAAGTAGTGAGGGAAACTAGGTCGAAACTAGGTGAATTCGTCAAATAAAGCAATCCCGAGAAATAATGAAATGCATAATTTTCAAATAACAATAGATTCTTTAACTAACATAAACCGCTGATTTTTTTTCCTGGTATTGAATTCAGGACGAAATATGTTTCAGTAGAAATATTTTGTTATTTGTTTGGGCAAATGCTTTTTGGAATTAGTTTAACCAGCATCATTGCTTGTCAGTTTGAAAATTGTGAAAAGTACAAAGTGGCGAATAATTGTCGACATTGTACAACCTCGTGAAGAACTGTACGATTATTCAGTGCTAGGTTTTCGACAACGGCTTTAACTACACATAACTCCATAATTTCCCTCGAGATTACTAGTAAACGTTTCAAGTCTTTAGCAATTGAACCGTTCCATTCTCAATTTATCAGTTAGCAGAATTCTGGGCTAAATGCTAAGTTAGCTAGCACTCGGCAACAACTTTTTAGTTTACTTGACCTTCGGGACTAAGTTTTGTAGCTTATCTATGTCAGCCATTTTTTCCATTCTATTTTACAGGTCCGGTAAGAGCCTGTATATGAAGATGTGGATTTCAGGTCTCCAATTTATTATCCACGATGGAGTTCTGCCTTTCTAGTGTGAGAAGGCACCAAATTCTTTTCTTTCTGTTGAATGGAGCAGTTGCTGATTTACATCTTTTTTTTTTTTTTAACTTGTAAGGACCTCCTGGAGACATGCCATCCTATCTTCAACTTCGATCTGGAACAATTCCAATTTTTTGACCTTGCTTTTTTCCAGTTGCTTTAAATGAAACATTGCTATAAAATAAAGAAAAAAAAAAAACCAATTTTTGGAATCCTGTAGAGATTTCACTTTTTACTATATCGATCCAGTACTACTAAAATCCTTGTTTTATGACCGTTTTTTCTCCATCCGATCTGTTGCTTCAAAAATTTCTGGAACATTTTTGAGATTGAGAAATCCCCCATTCAGCCACCTTCAGAATTAACCTATGGTTCCGATCAGTATACATATGTACGCTTTGAAATTCTAGTAAATTACAGATTTTTCTTAACCTGTCTTATATGGTTCGCACACAATTAATTTAACCACTGATGGACTTTATATTTGTATTATTATGGAAGCAGAATGTAAGCTCATTACTTTTTTAGACTCGATCTTAGTCTAGTCTCACCATCCGAACTTCATTCGGAAAAACAATTTGAACCGAGTGATCATTTCTGATGATTGTTGTGAACTTCATTTAAACTTATCTGTTCTTTTCATTACCTACAGATTTAAGTATAAAGCTTATAAAGAAGTGAATAATGCCTGCAGTTAATTCATCTCTTGATTAGTTGGCCAACAATTACAACAATCAGTATTAGTAAACTTAGCCATGAAGAAATAGAGGAAGAAAGAGACAAAAGATAAGCTTGAACCAGTGGAGTAAGAGATAGCCTTCTTCATTGTCCCCATAGTATTTATTTAATTTGCAATGAAAGCCGAACGAGCTTATTATCTTCAAAGAAAATCAAAGGAAGAGTAAAGATAGATCCTTGTTTCTCTTTCCTCTCCTCTCCCCATTACATACTTTCAAATCATTTCCAGCATG